CTAGAGCTACGGAGCTGATTTGGGGGCTGTTGCCGTCATCGAGTAAGAAGTGAGTCAAGGAAGTGACAGAGATGGGAGAAAAGCTGAATTTCAGAGATCTTAAGGGGCTTGGATCTATCGGGACACTGGGAAGGGAGGAACCAGGGTCGGGTCGTTGATTTCTGCCTTGCGGTGGCGTGGACACAACACGTGTTTTATCTTCCCTGAAGGGAGACATGCAGGTCTGTTCAACAGTAACTGCAGCAGGCAGAGCCCTTGGGCGATGTCTGTCCTTCCCGTCCTCTCTGGATGGTGCAGCCGCTTGGGCACAAAGAGTGAGCCTCCCCTTCCAGCACCTCCAGCACACATGGATGGAGAGAGGACAGGGCCAGTGCAGTAACGCCTTCTTATGGAGGGACGGGAGAATGGAAACACTCAGTAGCCACGGTTTCACATCCTGCTGGAGAGGGTAACAGGACCCCTTTTGGTTTGGCTTTGAGAGGCTCTCCTGTCCATTGTCCTTTGTAGCTCATCTCTGGGTGTATAATTCATGTCTCAGCTCACATGTCACCTCCTAGGAGAACTTTTCTCTGAGCTCTCAGTATAAAGTAGGCATCCAGTTTTTAATTGTTGTAGCTATTGGCAGGGTGTGCATTATCTGCCATCATCTGGTTCCTTTATTGTGTTAATTTTTCCTGCTCCTCTTAGCCTGGAATGTCAGGTCACAAGGGGGCGAGGGACCTTGTCTGATGTGTTCACTTTGAATCCTTAATACGTGGAATAATATGTGGCTCCGTATATTTTTTGAAAGAATGAATAAATGAAGGAGAGAGGTATAGAATACTGAGGGAGAAATAGGTTTTTAGTAAAAACACTTTTTGGTAGGGGAGAGGAAGATGAATTTGGTCTTGGGTATGATGTGTTTTTTGGGAATGTTTAAGTACAGATGTCCAATAGGCCACTAAACAGAAACCCAGGAAGGAGATCATAATAAAAGCAGCTAGTGTTTCTCAAGTCCTTCCTTTGTGCCAGACTGTGTTCTAAGCACTTGGTATAGTGGAGAGGTGGATCTACAGAGGCAGAAGTTGAAGTGGGAAAAGCAGAGTGTGCGTGAGAAGAAAGACAGGGACACAGGTCTGGGGAGACACCAGTAAATAAGAGGTGAGCAGAGAAAGAGGCTTCTCTCAGAAGAAGCAACCCAGAGACAGGGGGACCCTGGGAGAGCGTGGTATCTAGAAACCCAGGGAAGGAGGAGAAATTACTGAATGTCTCCGAGGGATCTGAAGGGTGTCTGCAGCCTTCGGCATCAAAGAAATGATGCTGGGAAGAGTTGTTTCTGGAGACCTCAGGGAAAGAGGGGTTGAGGGTTTGAGAATTTAAAGGTGGTAATAGTGGGAATCCACCTACTAATGGAGGAGACACTGGAAACTCCAGTTTGATTCCTGGGTCAGGAAGATCCCCTGGAGAAGGGAATGGCAACCCACCCCAGTATTCTTGCCTGGAGAATCCCATGGGCAGAGGAGCCTGGCGGGCCGCAGTCCACAGGGTCGCAAAGGGTCCGGCACAATGGAGCAGGCGTGCACAGCAGCGGGAAGGGGCTCACGGAGAGTTGGAGTCTGAACATGCGGTCAAGGGAGAGATTGTTCCTCAGTGGCTCCTGGGGAGGTGAGGGTTGACGGCAGCTGGGGCTGGGGAAGCATATCTTTTAGACGGTTTCCTTGTGCTTCCCCTGAATGTTCTGATTTTTCTTGTTCTGTCATTTTCCCAGTAGAACCTTACTGGCCATGATGTTGCCTGCTTGGTCAGGATCTGCTGGGGCCTAATGGCCCATAGTTACTGACAGCTGCCATCAGCCACGAGGGCAAAGGTTCTATAGGGAGTTTCTTTAAACTTCTTTGGCCAGGATCAGCTGTTATTTTTGTCTTAAGTTACTGTGACTTCACGTGGTTGCACTTCCATTCACTTTCACTCAACCTGGTTGCAGGAAAACCATCTTTCATAGATAATGCAGGCTGTTGGCAGTTGAAATGGCTCAGTAATATCCAAAACTGGACATTTAATAGATTTAACTTAGTTTAAGAATTTAAAAATTTGTATAAACTAACTCCCCCCTTCCACCTCCTGCCAAGGGATGGAAATTAGGTTTCCAATTGGAAAAGTAAAGACTGTGTTTTTATTTTTAAATTTCATTTATTTATTTCGTTTGGGCTGTGTTGGGTCTTTGTTGCTGCACATGGGCTTTCTCTAGTTGCGAAGAGCAGTTTTATTCTGGTGGCTTCTCTTGTTGCGGAGCATGGGCTCTGGGGCATGCAGGCTTAGTTGTCCTGTGGTATGTGAAATCTTAGTTCCAGGGCCCAAGATTGAACTCATGTTGCCTGCCTTGGCAGGCATATCCTTAACCACTGGACCACTAGGGGAGTCCCAAGATGGTGTTTTTAGAATGCTCTGTTCAAATGTGAAGTATACCTTAGTTTTCTGATACAGTGATTCTAAAATGTTTTATCTTGCTTGAGGTTTTCTGAATTTCTATCTGACTTTAACATGCCTATAGGTAATAGAATGAACTAATATAGAAAATTTAAGTATTTTTTTTCTCTTTGTTGATTTTGAAAGGAACATTTGAACATATGTCTACGTTTGATAGACATAATTTATTTGAAAAGAGTTTTATCATAGACGCTGGATCCTAAGAAGTCCTTTCTTTTGATAATCTGTTTAAAAAAATGTGAACAAATTATATGATAGTGTGAGAAATCTACAGGTATGGTTATCTGGAGGTGTTAATACTAACCTTCCCTGATAGCTGAGCTGGTAAAGAATCTGCCTGCAATGCGGGAGACCCCTGTTCAATTCCTGGGTTGGGAAGATTTGCTGGAGAAGGGATAGGCTACCCACTCCAGTGTTCTTGGGCTTCCTTTGTGGCTCAGCTGATAAAGAATCTGCCTACACTTGGGGGAGACCTGGGTTTGATTCCTGGATTGGGAAAATTCCCTGGAGAAGGGAACGGCTACCCACTCCAGTATTCTGGCCTAGAGAATTCCATGGACTGTATAATCCATGGGGTTGCAAAGAGTCAGACACGACTGAGCGACTTTCACTTTAACACTAACCTAATTCATCAAAAGGAAGAGTTAATGCTGCCGGCAAAGTTAACAGCATGTTTAGTGGAGGTGTCTTAACCAGACATTTGCTTCCTACTGAGACAAAGTGAAATGTAACTCCTGGAAGGACAGGGTGGGGAAGGATGCTTCAGGAGGAGAGGTGTAGTTGGACAAACTCACACAAGGTACTTGGATTTTCAGAAACGCCATCGAGTATGTGATTGATATAAAGGCAGTGAGCTGCTTCAAAGATGAAACGTTTTGGTATTTCTCAGCTTTTTGTTGTGTGGACTTCTTTATACTCTTAAAATTCACTGAAGACTCCAAAGACCTTTTGCTTATAAAGATTATATTGATTTTTACTGTATTAGAAGTTAAAACTGAAAATTTTAACATATTAACTCATTTAAAAGTACCTACAGGGTAGGTATGACCTACACGGGTTGGGTGGGGATTGGGGAGTGGAGGGAAGTCCATTAAAGGAGGGGATATGTGTATACACATAGCTGACATTTAAAAATCCATGTAAAAAAACCAATAGGAAAATGGGGAAAATATCAATAAGAAAGTTATTCATGCTTAATTTTTATGAGAAATAACTATGTAAAAAGATTAAGAAAAATGGCATTGCTATGCATTTTTTCCAATCTCATTAATACCTGATTTAATCAAAGAAAGCTAGATTCTCAAATCTGCTTCTGCATCCAGTCTGTCATTTGAAATACTTTAAATCATGAAAGAGAGAGTAAGAATTATATCTTAGTATTTCTAAGAAAATAATTTTGAGCTCTTTGACCCCTGAAAGGGTTTCAGGCTTCTTGGGATGGAGGTGGGTTTGGCCCTGGACCATGCCTTAGGAATCACTGAGCTACACTTTGTGTTTCTTGAGGGTAGAGACCATTGCCTTGGTTTTCTTTTTTTCTGCTCCTTAGGGCGTAGTAAAATATTCTTTATGTTGACACCTCAGATGTGTTTACTGACACAACTCACCCCTATAAAATTCCAGGGGAAGGAACCATCTGGTGAATCAGGACTGGGCTTCCGCTTCAGAATGCCTTTCCCCTTGATTAGTCATGCAGTAAGAGGATCCATCCCAGTCCTTTAACTCAGCAGCCACAGAGGTGCCCCGGACTCTTTCCACTGTCTTGACGAATTTGTAGACTGGTTACACACCAAGATGAGTAGTGTAGGGAAACAATATTCCCTTTTCAGCAAGTTCTAGGAAGTCTTGGAGGCTGCTGGGAGAAAGAAGAGAGAATTGTTTTCTAGAAGCAGAATGAAAAAGTCGGTGGAAATCTTGGGGGGCTGTGCTGGCACGTGGGATCCACTCTGCTCTCCAGGGAGAGAGAGCATATGCGTTCCTCCAGTTCACATTTTCTGCACCAAGGCAGTGGCAGGTGGCCTGCAGAGTGAGTGGGAAGCCATAACCAACGTTCTGAGTAACAGCATTTCCATTTGCCAAATGTTATGTTACTGTTCTCCAGGCCTACAGTAGAAATATGCAAACTTAGATTGAAAAATATGCATACTGTTAGTGTTAAGTTTTCAGACTTTTGAAAAAATATAGGTAAACAATATCAAAAGGTATCTTTAAAGTCATGTGGCAAATTTTGCATAAAACAAATACCTGTACAACTTACAGAGTTTGTATTGGAGCAAATTTATTGATCAGCTACTTCAAGACGTATCTTCATACATATAGTAGCATAAACATAGTTGCTTTTGCATTTGACTTCCAAAGAAATGGATGCAAAAGCATTTTAAAACAGCATGACTTTGTCTGCTTTATCTGAATGAGTTGGTGGCATTTTCTAACTGCTTGCCTCTCGGGCGCATAAGTCATCGTGGTACATTCTTACTAATAGTCTCTGAACTTCTTTCCCTGTCCTTTTCTTCCGGGCCGTTTATCGCTGCCTTTAGCGCTTCAGCATGGAAGGGATCTCAAATGTCATTCAGAATGGCCTCCGCCACACCTTTGGAAATTCAGGTGGAGAGAAACAGGTGCTCAGTTATCCTTATTTTCCTCATTCTCTGCTTTTTCATTCACTGTGTAAGTTAAGGTCCTGAAAGCTGGCAGTCTTACTAATTTACTAAGACTGTTGCTTAAAAGAGAGAAATGAAAGTTCATTATATTTACAGCCTTGATAAAGCATAGTATTTCCCTTTAGGAAAAAGCGTTTTTCAAATTGGACAATAAATGCATTATTAGTACATGCTTTAGAGCTCTATTTTTCACTCTTAAACAAGTAGATATGAATGTATTGATTTAATGAATTGCATGCATAGAATATATAGTTGTGAAAATAACTAAACTAGAATATGCTACTGTAATTCTGAATGTTTAAGAAACAAGACCTCATCTGGAGGGAAAGAAAGCTAGATGTTGGTATCATTTAGACTATAGTTCTAGGTCAAACTGTCTAGAATTTACCTACTTTTAAATGAAATTTATGTGTTTTTAAGATGTATCATGTGGCCAGTCAACCCCATTGTTCCCTGAATGAGGCATGAGAGATTATTAGTATAAAATCACACATGGATATAAATATATAGTAAAGTGTGTAATGTTATTTATAGTGTTAGTTATATTAATGTTTTTTTAATATAATGACGTAAGGAATGTCATGAGCATAGGAAATACATCTATATTGAGTGTGCTTAGTATTACCTTTTACAATTGAAACCTTCATATTAAAAAGAAAACTCTTCTTTACTTCTTAAGTGAAGATTGGGAAAGTGTGCAGAGTATAGCTTGTAGGCAGTTTATCCAAGTAAGGCATTTGAGCCTAGGCTTTTACTGCAGATAGTTCTGTTTTGCTCAGGAAGAGAAATAATCGACTTTAAATAATTCTTTGCGCTGACATTTGCAACTCAGAAGTGGGTTCCATTAAGAGATGGTTGATTTTTTTTTTTTTTTAATTCTAATGCCTCTCACCTTTCTCAAACCCACAAAATGGCAGAGTATCTTCCATACTGACCCAGCATGTGGGAGTGGGGCAGGAAGGCCTGAAAGTGTGGTCAGACAGCATGAGTGCCAACATGTGGCTTCCTGGTCCTCCTTCAAGTGGCCTGACATGCATGCTGTTAGTGATGCCCCAGGAAGACATGTTTCTGGCATCCTGTGTATTCTTTACAAATAAATGTTTTCAGTTATACAACTGGGCATCACCTTGGAGAGGCTTACACCAAAAAGATGGTGGAAATTAAGTTTCTTAAATATTGACTAATTCATTGTAAGCAGTTACTGTTAAGCAAGTCTGTTTTGTTTTATGATTATGCATAACATAAAATTGCTCAAAGAGGATTAGGAATAGAGCTGAGAGTTAGGATTGGGGCTAAATAATGGGTGCACCTGGAGATTTCAAGTTAAAAACAAACAAACTAGTAGATCTCTAGATAAACACATGCAGAATACATTGAGCTGTACATTTTTTTGGTGGAGTGGTCAGAAGAGAATCTGGACATTGATTTTTAGATTATACTTTCATGGGACATAGTTATAGAATATTAGTGATACTTGTGAGCCTTATAGTAGTGAACCAGATAGTTTGTCTCAATATCAGACATGAATTTTCATTATTCATTAGGCCCGTCTCTCCTTTCACTTTTCTCTTTTCCTTTAATACCTTTATGCATTTATAACTACTTACACAATAATTTAAAATAACAGTAATACATCTCTAAAATTACTTGAGTTTTTCTTTTTTAGCTTTTGGAGAAAACTGGAATGTGTTTTTAAAATTGTCAAGTTACCCATGTGACTATATTGTTCAACCAGGAAAAAATGGTCTGAAACAATCATTTAACTGCTGGGAACTATTTTGTTATGCAGAATGGTTATGTATTTGCGTTTAAATTACCATTTCAAAAGTGTGTTGAAATATGCAAGGAGAATGTTAGATAAGACTTCACTTTAACAATGAACAAATTGGGCAGATCACCCTCCTACACCTCCTTCTGTGAAATTTTCAGTAACTGAAAGGAGAAAAAGTCGATATTTATGTAAACAATGGGCTTGTATGAAATAGAGGTAGGCAAAAAAAATGAGCTCTGGCTGAGATAGTAAGATACCTGTGTTCATTGTTAAAGTGGCTCATGTTTCATGTTATAAAACAAACCTTCTAGTAACTATATCACATTTTTACAGAGAAGGGAATGCAGATTCAAGTGACTTTTTTTTTTTTTTAACTTGGCAGTACCTGACAACAGTCATTCCTTATGAGAAAAAAAATGGACCGCCATCTGTTGAAGATCTTCAGATATTAACAAAAAGTAAGCAAAGATGAAATTGAACTGTTACCTTATTTACTTTTGCTGATTCTGAACACTTATTTTAATTGTTGCTGCTCGTGTTTTGTCAGTTTAGGGTAGCATATGATGGATCTCATCATTTATTCTTTCGAGAAGGAAAACATAAACGGCTGTGACATCAAATCCAACTCTCACTCTAGAGCTGATTTGTATTTTTCCTGTTTTTCTTACCTTTTGAAACATTTACAAGCTGACCTTTTTGGGGGAAAAAATGGAACTTAATTTTCCATCACCTATTGTATATTTAAGAATATTCAGTAAAATAAGTGCTTCATGGATCTTATTAATATGACTGTCAGTATCTCAGTAGGAAAGACTTAGAAATGCAGCCTAAAACACTCCTTTCTTAGGAATGCAGAGACGAAGGTATGTAGTTACAGGTAGAAAATAAATTGATATAAATATTTTAAATACTTATTCACTAAGCAAGCGTTTATTGAAGGCCTACCCTGGGCCACGCTGTTCTGGGCACTTGAGATACTTCAGTGAACAAAGCAGACAAAAATACTCCACCTTCAGTGGGCTTGCATTTTAAAATAATTTGTTAGACTTAAGAGACATTCAATATAATGTGTGTCTATAATAGTTTTAAATGAGCCCTAAATTCTGGTTCTGTCCCTGTTATTTACAGGCATTTCTGTTGGTCACAGTGAAAAATTAGGATTAACATATTTGCTCTATTTGTCTCATGGTAAATAGATTAATGTATGTATAATTTGGTACAGGTCAATTACTTGGCTTTGTTTTTCTTGAAAGGATTGAATTTGCTCATCTATTAGGTTCTTTCTAATCATAAATGTTTGCAGTAACTGTAAGTTAAAGAGGGAGCCATATGAGAGAACATCACATGAGTGGTTATTAATGGTGATCTGGATTTTGGCATTTGGGGCTATGGAGGCATAGGTAAAGGGAGCTTGAGGAAAGAAGTGTGTTATTTGCAAGCAACCTGCCTGCTAACTGGAAGCTTTTTTTTTTTTAAGAATTAATTTTTTATTGGAATTTTAGGATTGACATATTCTTTCCTTTGAACAAAACTTTAAAACATTTGAAGGTTATGTGATGCCAGTCTGTCTAAAAGAATTCACAGATCAGGTGGGCGGCCAGTCCTCTATGTTTCAGGAGGAAGTTATGAGTGTCCAAGGCCACAGAGCAGGGGCTCCCTGGTGGTCCAGTGGTTAAGACTCTGCTTCCACTAGGAGAGTGGCTAATTACAGAGCCACCTCTTGTAATTCCCAGTCCACTGTGCTTTTTAATAATGCTGGCTTTTGGTGTGTGATCTTATGTAGAGCTGAAAGCAAATCTAAAATATGATTGAAAACAGAAATACTGAACATAAGTATTTCTCTAAGAAGGGAACAGAAATGCTGCCTAGAAGCCAGGACCTACTGAGAAATCTTAGCTTCTCAGATCAAGAACAAGCACATATTGGCCAAACCAGAGTCCTTATAATTCCCACATCAAAATGCCCTAGGCACAGAGTCTTAGACGATGTCTTTGTAGACTGACACAACTTGGAATTTGGGGTAAGCGAGCGTATGTACAGTGTGTGAATGAGTATCCAAGTTAATATACTATATACTATATCAAGATAGTAGATATAAGGATGACGTTTACTATGAAAGTTTAAAAGAGTTTGTCTCTTGAAAATTTTGGGGAGAATCTGAGCCTCTGCCATTCCTACCTGTAGATACACTGTAGGGGAAGCTCTGTGGGGACAGTCAGGGTTTAGATATGTAGCCTTCCTCATAAAAGCTATTGGAGGTGCAACAATAGTTGTAATAAGAATTAGAACATTGTTAGTTATGATGGTAATGCTTACACAGTGTGTATTATGTGCCAGACGCTACTTGAAGTCCTTCACGTCTAAATTGGTAACTTCATACTCACGATAACCCTGTGAGACAAGTCTAATTATTATTCTCACTTCACAGATGAGGAACTGGATGGTTAAGTCACTTGATCACAGTCCCACTGCTAGAAGTGGCTGAGTCAGGCTTTAAACTAGGCTGTCTTGACATACATCTGGGGGAGAACAGTGAGGATGCTCCAGAGAGTTCGAGTTGGCAGTCAACTGTGAAAGGGCAGTATTCTTTGTGGGTTTATCTGAACCCAGGTGGTCTAGATGTTTTTTAACCACTATAATAGTATCTGTGTCTTCTATTCTGTCTTTGCTTAGCGATCAAATTGTCAAAGATTCTCTTTAGAATGAGGCTGACTCACCCAGGTCCCTCTGCCATTTTAAGGAGCAGGCAGCCTGGCAGGGTGCTGGCTTTATGGAAGTCTGTTCTTCATTTTATTCTTTTCTTTTAAAAGTTTCTGAGAAGGCTGACAGATAATGCTCCTTGGAGAGTGCAGCTAGCTCTTCCATTTTTCTAAGAGTTTCTCCAGCTCATGAGACCTCAGCACTGAGGTTCTCCTTCCCAGAGCTCATAGAAGCACACATTTTGGTAACTTGCTTGCCAGTATTTATGAAGACAAAACTGAGCCTCTGTGTAATAAACCCAGTTCCTCTTTCCTGCCTCACTGTTTAGAAATTTTAAATCAAGGAAATAGCTCTCAGGTAGCTTAATATTCTTACCTGAGTGAAGACTTATTCAGCTGTAATAAATTCTTGTCCATTTGCAGTTGTAGTCTTTCATCCAGAAGATAATCAATTTGCATGAATTGTTTATACTGTGTAATTAAGACTAAAGCTAGAATGATAGAGATTGTCTGAATTTAAAATCATTGTTTTCCTTTCTTTTATTTAACAGTTCTTCGTGCCATGAAAGAGGATAGTGAAAAAGTTCCAAGCTTGTTAACAGACTATATACTAAAAGGTGAGTTTTTTTTTTCTTTTTTTTAAGCTTTTTATTTTGTATTGGGGTAAAAAGGTAACTTTTAGAATAGTGTATGTGCAGTAGTTGGGAAGTTTTGATTAGTCAATAAATGCATCATCTTGCTAATAGATTAAAAAGTAACTTCTAAATGTACAACTTTTCTTTATTGTATTTTGCAGCATGAGGATAGATATGTAACCTACTTATGCTCCCAACATAATAAAGCATGGTTATATAAAATTTAGTTTTTATTTGAGGTCCTGGGCTGGAAGTAATTTTCACAGCTAAATTATAAACATCGAGGAAGGCAGTGGACGAAATATTATGGAGGTATTGCCATAATTATGTGTCTTGGATCTTGACACTGGGAGGATTTGAGAAAGGTGGCCTCTGCCGTCTTGGGGACAATAGAAGGAGAAGGACAGATGAAAGCAGGAACATTCAGACCAGTTAACCATCTCAAAGGGACTATGGATGGGACTGGGTAAGGGACAGGGAAGGTAGGGAGAAAGAGAAAAAGAATGGATGTACACAGAGCCAGGGCAGTGAAGAATGAGCCGTAGATTTTAGGAGCAAGATCAGGATCACACAGGATGGGAACAGTGATGAGGCAAAGAAGATTGTTTGAGACTTTAATGACATCACCTGCTTTGCTGAGGAAAGAACAAAATTTGGATAATAGAGGGACTGAAGATCTTACTTAATTCCAGGCAAAGCTAATACTTTTAAATGAAATTATTTCTTTGAAAGTACCAGTTTTTCAGGTAGCAGATTTTCAGGGCATCATAGGATGCATCCTATAGTGCTTGGTCCAAGTTGGAGAGCAGTCCTCTCCTCTGGCCACACTGTTCTTTGGGTTCTCACTCTTCTCCATCAGGAGTTGCTAACTGAACAGCAGTTTGGGATTTGTGAGACGTTCAGGAACTCAGATGGTGCTGTTCCTCAATCATAGCTTGATATAGGAGGAACTAGCATGAAGTGAATAGTACATAGTATCACCTGTAAGGTCAGACATGGAGCTGGCCACGAAAGGGTTAACAGGGAGGGGGGTGGTTAGGAAAGACTAAATTGACTTGATCGTTTTTTTTAATAAGCCGTGTTTTCTGATGGAGGGCTGTCTCTTCCTGTACATTCTCAACTTTCTGAAAACAAAAACCTGACATCTCTGTTTGCTTTTGTGTTGTGCTAGCACTGGTATGAAAGCTGGATTGTTCTGAGGTTTGTTCTTTATAGACGTGAATCAGGAATGAGATGCACATAAAGAACATGTCTTAAGTTTCAATTGGCATGGGTTACTGGGGTACTGCCGTAAGAGCCAGGGATAGAGCGAGCTTCCCAAACACTCTCGAGCTCTTTTATCATCAGACTTCACGGGAGAATTGTGTGACCCAGAGAGCAGAGTGCTCTGGGGGGAAGTGATTTTTACTTTTTCCCCTGAAAACCCAGGAGTGTAACTGTGACCCTGCCTCAAGCGTCCCCTCCGCCCCACTGCCCCCTGTCCCGGTGACCCAGTTGCCCGCCCCACCTGCCAGCCCACTTCTAGGTAAATGGTGCCAGCCGCTGACAAGCTGCCTGTGTGCATGTGCTGTGGTCTGGTCTTGGCTTTGTATTGTAAGGACTGGGTGGAAAAGCAGCTGGGGTTCAGACTAAGGAGTGACTCTATAGTCCAAGAAAATGAAGAGGGGAGGGTAACACACTCAGAGGTGTGCACATGCTTGGGAAGGTGAGGATAGAAGGCGATTCAAACTGCTCTTTTCCACCCATTCTGGAAATCCACAGCCACTTAGTGATTTCTCTTCCTTGGGGATCAGTAGAACACTACCTGGGAAGGGGGTATTGTTCAAGGGAGAACTCTTCATCCCCTTTCTTGGTGCGACTTTCTCCTTGTTTTTAACGCCGGCGACTATGGGTTGCGTGTGTGTGTGTTTGTGTGTGTTAGTCACTTGGTGTGTCTAAGGGCAAACTCTTCATCCCCTTTCTTGGTGCGACTTTCTCCTTGTTTTTAACGCTGCTGACTATGGGTTGTGTGTGTGCATGTGCGTGCGTGCGTGCGTTAGTTGCTTGGTTGTGTCTGACTCTTTGCGACCCCATGGACTGTAGCCCACCAGGCTCCTCTGTCCATGGGGATTCTCCATGCAAGAGTACTGGAGTGGGTTGCCATGCCCTCCTCCAGGGGATCCTCCTGACCCAGGGGTCAAACCCACGTCTCTTATGTCCCCTGCATTGGCAGGTGGGTTCTCTACCCATAGCCACCTGGGAAGCCCGCTGCCTACATATACCGCCTTAATTTCAATGCGAAGGTGAGAAGTGAAAGAAGGTAGAAAAGTGGCCTCATTTGACCCAAGATGGGGTGGATGCTGTATGGGCTACTAAGCTTGTCTTTCCCACCACTTCTTAATCGCTCCACTGCAGCCTGCTCTATCCCAGCGCTCAACTTTGTACCAAAGGCTAGTGTAGCTCTGGCTGCCACTGTGCTGATCCAAGATAGGAAGAGAGTGGTGTGCAGAAAGTCACTTCCTTCTTTGACTTCACCAGTGAGCCGTCTGCCGTGTTACAAGCCTTCAGCAAGGCTGTTGCAGATTTGTGTCTCTAAGTGGTACCCTGAGAGACATGGCCTCTTGGCATCTCATTTCTGGACCATTCTAACCAGTGTGTCTTGAGAAAACTTTTCGATGTTGGGTATAGCCTTTGATACCTTTAAAAAAAATGCTACTATAGATCCGTATTATAGTTTTCATTGTTTAATGGCATTTTTTATATACATATAGAATGTATATAAAATGCATATATAAATGTATATAAATATATATATATACATCTTATGTAAATGTATAGAAAATATGCATTTCTATTCAAAATTTTTTTTCTTCCTCTAGTTCTGTGTCCTACATAGGGCAGCATCACTTCAGGAACAGCTTTATCCTTCGTGGGCAACAAGCTACAATTCCTATAGCATTATTCTGAAAGCTGGCTACTATTACCTTCCTGCTATTGGAAACTCAGGACACTTGAACTTGGGTTTGTGATTCAGTATTACTAGATCATGCCTTCTCTAATTCTTTGTATCTTGAACTGAGAGAACCATGGCACTATTTTGAATTCTAGAGTTTTTTTTTTGTTGTTGTTAAATACTAAAAATCATGAACTCTTCTGCAACTCTGTAAAGGGGGAGTGACGTTCACTGAGCACATGCAGCTATATTCTTCATTAACAGACAGTACGTTTCTACGGCTTTCTAGATCTAAACTGCACTCACTCAAGAACTAGATTAAAGCATTGAGAGATTTATACTATAGCTGTTCTTCAGTGATGGCAAGTACCAACACTGATTTTTTTTTTTTAAATAAGAGAACTGTCAGTATAAACATTACCTACCAGTATTGTCCAGAGAGACTGAAACTTGGGGTTTTTGGAAGAAGGGAAACCAGAATATACATTATCTTGGCTTAACACTTTGTCAAAATCAAAACACCTGGAGATGGTCGATTTTAGGGCTTGCTGTGTCTCACCATTGTTCAAGTTTTAACCATTAAGATGACATTCACTTTCAGAATCTTGTATTGTTTAACTTTAGAGGTTTCCATGTTTCATTTCCCATGTCTGTGAAGAAGTGTCCTTAAAAGGAATTGGTATCTTTTAAGGTGCTTAAACTGTATGCTGCAGCAGTGCCCGTTCCCTGTTATTATTGTATTGTATTCATGCCTCTGTTTTCCTGAAACACTAATTCTAGGAACAGCTACTCATGGATCCATCCCTAGTCATGAAACATCTTTGCCAGTTCCAATCAAGTCAATTCTATTTAATAAATGTTGGAAAAAAAGTAGCATATGTTTGAGAGCTTTTTTTTTTTTTAATTTTTCTTCTCTTAACCATGCTGGATTCCTCCCCTTGCTATTCCACGCACTGTCTTATTACAGAGCATGAGCTGGTGAAATCTTGATTAGCCGCATGCTAAGTGGGGGCGTGGGGGGAGAGGGAGCATTTTTTCAGATAGCGATAAGCTACTGTGGAATGTCAGAAGTCTTTTCCTGGGTCTGTGAAACATTCCCGACAGCCTCTTCCCATCACCAACATGAATGTAAGTAGAGTCTAATTAGCCATCGGACTTTTCAGGTCCCACTTAAAACATCTGTTGAGTGTCTGGAGCCCACTGTGTTCCTCACTCTGCTCAGTAACTGGGACATGAAGACGGCAGCAGGTCAGTTTGGAGTTTGATGCCAGCACTGCATTTCAGCCTTTCTCTAGGGCACATGGAAGTGGAGATGGTTCCTTGTTTTATTCATGTCTTGATAGTGAATATGTGAACAATTTGTCCCATGCTCTTGAACTGATGAAGAGTCTTACCAATATAAGAGTATTAATTGAAGCTAATCTGAATTTGTAAAAATTGTCTTATACAAGAGGGCATACTAAAGAGCAAAAGAGTTGTCTTCTGAAGCCACTCAACAGTAGTCTGTTTATAGTTCCTTTTTAAGTTGATGCATCTGAACTGTATGAAAAAAATGCTATTTTTTTCTGATCAACTCAAAGTCCCTTTTTAATGAGGGTTCCCTGATTTTGCTTGGTAACTTCATTATTCTTCAGCAGTAAACCCTAGGGTTTCCCACTGCAGCCCTTTTCCTACACATGATGAATGACACTAAAGATGAGCTGGGCATATTTGATTGGTGACTGACAACCAGGTAGATTTTAAATTTCCCTCACAGCAGCCTCTCTGGGCTGTACACCTGCGGTGGGCATTGGGGTGGCGGGGGCCCCTTTTTTGTCTCACAAGGATTCCTTGGGAAAGGCCTGCCTTCTGAGCAAAGCACTGGGGGGCTGTCTGTGATGCTGGAGATTCACGGAACTGTCAACCTTAAAATAAAAGGATGAGTCATCTTTCACATCGCAGACAGAATCTTTCTGAAAGCGACATCATGTGATTTGGATTCAAAGTGTTTATTTGTTGCCAAGAATCAAGTTGCAGGTAATCCTCTTACAGCCTTGTTTTTTGAAGAAAACAAACTGTAGAACTACAGTGCACTCCAAGTGCCATATATCTATTTTATTCTTCAGGAAATTATATTTTTCTTTTACAGAGCACAACAGGAACCAAAGTAAAAGAGTAATAGATACAGCACTCAGGATAAATCAAATCTTTAAAATAATAATAAAAAAAATTTACACCTTGTCCTATATCCTGTTAGTATTTTCATAATATGGCCATGATTGAAAAAAACAAAAAGCAAGCATTTACAATTTTTTGATAGACTTTTTATGCCAGGAATGGTTAATTGTCAACAAAAATTTATACTAATCAGGCTGATGTAAATCTATTTTGGTAGCATATCATTAACAAATTTATTTTGGAGATAGATAAAAATATTGCCCCTTGATAATAAATCTTTTTTTTTCTTTGATGCAAACAGCTAGAACACCTTTTTCTTTTCTTTTTTTTTTTTGATATTCTAAGACAAAAGAAATGGTTAATCTTCAGATTAATAAATTAGGTCATTATAATAATAAATTAATTTTTTTTAAAGTTCAGCAACCTCTGTCCAAGTATTTACAACAATACTTGAAAGTTCCTTTACAAAACAGAACACGTTTTCTTTTCACATTAAGCATACTGGGTATCTGTGTCTTTCACAACAAGCATTTTTAAAAGAAAAAAAATCAATGCAACAAATGGGTAATTAGTATAAAAGTGCTAAGAGCTGTTTGAAAAGTTTAACACTATAGTATACAGTCAGTTACATCTGAGGCAAACTACGACAAACTTCCAGCTTATTATGGACAATATTCCAGTAGTTGTTTCAAACAGTTGTTTGAAAGAAAAAAAAAAAAATCCAGGAGCTGATTAGTGATGCAGCTAAAACTGCCATCAATGTCTCTGGCCAGTGAGCGAATTGAAAACCGAAAGCAAATCCAAATGAGGAAGAATTTAATAAAGGAATACCTTCTCCATGGCAGGTATGGGGCTGACTGCTCAAGGCGTGTGCATACACACACATACACTCACACTCACACACACACATTTCTCTTCCCAATTAAACTGCAGGTAGAATGAGATTTTGTGTTAATCAAAAATTTGTGATGGAATGCCTGTTTGTTTTTGTTCTGGTTAAAATCTCATAAAAATACATTCAACAGGAAAACATAAAATTGTATGTGTATAAATATATATGCATATATATATTATATACACACGCACACAAATACTTTTGTTTTTCTGAAGCATAAGAGTTACATAAATATTCCTATAATTGCTAGAGTTTAAAGAGGCATAATTTTTTTTTTTTGAGCTTCAACCAAGGTGCTTGAATAATATACAATTAAAATGAAGTAGTTTCTATTTTGTAGATTCAGTATATAATAAGGAAAAAAAAATATCCCCAAACAGTCTTTTTTTTTTAAAAAAAGTTTCTTTTTAAGCTAGAGCTTCAATGAAAACTATGAACAACCAACAACAGAACAGAAGAAAGCGACAACAACAAGGAAGTGTAGCCCTGGAAATAAATGCCTGGTGACCTCACCCTCTCCTCCTTCCTGCCACGTGGCCATCAGAAAAGCTCCAGTGCTCACATCGAGAAACGACTCGGGTCCTGATCATCTGCTGACTCTGCTAGGAACTGGCTGGTTGGCTCGGAAGAAAAAAGAAAGCAGCAAAAAGTATAACTGTGTAGATCCTTAATCACCCGCTTTAGAGAAACGTGGCTACCCCATGTCTCCTGCTTCCTCACCGCCTACTGCAGCTGTGACTATAGAAAAGAAGCGTGTGGCTTGAGGCCTGGGATGGCTATCAAAAGGGTCTGGTGCTCTTGTCTGTAGTCTAAGGTGGTTACAGGCAGAAGGATTGCAGGGCCTGTTTTCCTGCTCGCTCAGGCCTGAGCTTTGCAGCGACCAGTGCAGTCTTCCGAGCAACAGGAAAAGATATCCTCTGGGCCACTGGACTGGACTTCTCCCAGAGCCGAGCTGACCAACTGTGTCTTTCCACCACCACCCCCCTCCCACCCATTCTCCCCAACCAAACTCACTGTCCCCGCCCCCAAGTTTCTCTACAGCTATATTACAAGCAAATACATCTTAGCAACTTTGAAACCTTTGGTTCTAAGACACCACTTGGTCAGTGATCTTGAGGAGGAGTGGGAATGCTTGCTCTGCATGCCGCTGCCGACAGAGCCCAGCCCAGGAATTCCTCAGCGCTGTACATCAAGTCACAATCCAATACAATCCACTAAGCAAGTGCACGAATTCGAGTTTACTTTTTTAAAAGCAGACTGAGTCGTTTTTCTGTCTTTCCGAACCTCGTTGGCGCCGCCTGTCTTCACACCGTTTGGTAGAAATTGTCTGCCTGGAGGTGGTTCTGTTTCTGCATGCTGTAGAAGCCACTGAATCGCGCGTCTGGTTCTGCGATTCTCAGCATTCTCTGGGAACCGTCCACCTGGACCCGGGTTCCTTTCTTGCAGTCCACAGATACCAGCTGATTATTTAAAGAGGAAGGCTATTTCATAGGAGGAGGGGGGAAAGAAAACCATAAAGAATTAGCTGCTTTATATATCTCGAATCAGCAGTTATCTAGGCCTCATTCGAGTGAGATAACGGTGTTGCAGCACATGGATGAGCGGACTACATGGGCTAACAGCCTGTTCTGGAGCCAACTACACTTTTTTGGGGGGTGGGGGGCCACATTGCATGGCACACGGGATCTTATTAGTTCCCTGATCAGGGATCGAACCTGTGCCTCCTGTAGTGGAAACAGAGAACTTTAACCACTGAACTGCTGGGGAAGTCCTTCCTACTAACTATACTGGGATACTGAAAAACCGTGTTTAAAGATAAAATGCCAATAAATGATGTCAAACAAGGGGGAGATAAAAGAACTGAGAAAATACTGAAGTGACATAATTATTTTCAAATACTTGAAGTACAGATCAGTTCTTAAGAGAGTTGAAGGATGAATGGAAGGTACCAGGTCGGCAGCTGTTAAGATAAATGGGCCATTTCGAATCACTCAGGCTGTAGAATGAGCATCGCGGTTTGGGCCGGTCCCTCTGTCTCCAGCCACAGGCTTTCCCCAGCTCTGCAGGTGGGGACTGTCCTCTACACGCCTGTATCCCAACCCAGCACAAGCCCAGCCCAGAGGCAATTCACATATTTGTCAGAGAAAATCAGAGGCAGGCGATTCCATCTGATAAATTTTGTGAAAGGGTTATCTGGATGATAAAATGGCTGTTTTCAATTCTTGAGTAAATGAATTACTTCCTACTTTTTAAAACAGGCAGATTGAAGGCCTTTGTATTGACAGCAAATACATGTTCTTTCTGCAATATGAAATCTGCCTTTCTCCACCCTGTCTGGTATTATTTCACAATCTCTCCGTCGGTTGCTGCCCTTCTCCTCTCTGCTTGCCTTTGACATGTTTCCCTGTCCTTTGGACTTCTATACATCTTCATGAGCTTTCAGCTCTCCTCTTTCCCTCTTTTGACTGTTATCTTCTACCCTTGTGATTTTTTTTTTCCTCTCCCAATTCTATGTTGATAGATGACTGAGAAATACCAAGTGATCAAGTTTTAATTTCTAATATAAACAACAATGACTTAAACAAATACCCCTGGATTGATTCCTATTTGAAAACTTTAAATTCAGGTAATTGGACCGGTGAAAAAGGAGAATTCATTCAGTGACTGATCTAGCCCCAGGCCAAGTACTATATATCTGATCACTACAGCCTGATGTACGTTTGAGGCCATGAAGAGCAAAGTAAAATTCAGCTGGTAGAGCAGATATCCAGCAATTAAGGAAATACAAGCATGGAAGCTTTCCTAGTTTGATTGAAGAGGCTGAAACTTTGTCAGGACAATACCTTAGTTGGTGTTCGATACCAGCAAAGCAGTGGTATCCACTGTTTCTTCTGATTGATGAACAGGAATGCTATTATGATAGAGAGGCCTATTACTATAGGAACCACAACCGAGGCAATGGAATCCACTGAAGCATCTTCTGAGTTCAGCCTGGTATTATCTCTGTAATCTATCTGGGGGTGACCCATGTCTAGGAGAAAGAAAAAAAATTAAAGCATTTATTACCTAAACCAGAATTTTTAAGGATTATCTTAATTACCCTACAAATAGAGATCAGTGGATTGGTTTTATTGCTTCCCAGTACTTTAAGGCTAAAACATGATTAAAGTCTAATGTGGATCCAAAGAGCTCTTATGAAAGGGCAGAGCTCTTAGGATGGATGTAAAAAAGGAAATATTAGAGTGAGAAGGTTTAATAACTGGACAGGATGATGCTGATTCTAGCTAGTCAAGAAAATAAGATTCTTATGTAGACTTTAAAAATGACTAAAAAATATTTTGATTAATGTTAACCTTTATGGTCCTCCTAAGATTCTGAAACAGAAACATCAGCTTTCCTCCCTGCTAATTTATACTAGCAAACAGGAGGTGAGGACAAATTACATGCTTCTACTTAATAGTGTAATAGATAAGACTAATTAGTAGTGCACTTGTAAAAACCAAGCCAGGATCAAAAGCTTGGTCTGTTGGTTGATATTTCAGTTTACTGAGCTCTGAGCAAAAATGCCTTACTTTTCATAAACTTAATGAAAATTCATTGGGCCTGTTAGATCATTTTCCTGTATAAGGGACATTTAATTTTGCTCTTATAAATGATGGGTCTTTTTGTTCTTTTAAATCACCATTCTTTAACAAAGGTAAATATACAGCAATCAGGAGCACTCTGAAAATGTCCTTATTTTGTTTCAAGTAAACCTCTGTAGTCAGGATTAGGTTAGTGAAAGACCAGGTTAGTGAAAGTTGCAGAACACATACAGTTGAAAAGACCTGACTTTGAACTGTTTTGAAGACTCAGCTCATGAAGCAGCACAGCTCTGTGATGTTAATACTGTCTTTAATTTAAAACTCAGATTTTTATTAATATACTTGTATGTGTTTGTGGGGGGATGGAAAGAAGGGGCCCTTCCTAGTCATTTTAGCCACCATAGATGGTAATACTTTACTTCATAGAAGGTGGAAAAAAAAGCAAATGTATTTACCAGCATCAAAAAAAAAAATGCAAAGAAGATAAAATACTCTATTGATGAATTCAGGGTGCAAATATACAATGAAGAATGAATGTTTAACTTCCCACAATATAAATGATATTGGAAGTGTTTTTAGGAATATATGACATATAAGAAGATTATAAAGTAAATTGAGGCTTGGGGAAAGAAAAATGAAGCTTCAATTGAGATCAGTTAAAAAAAAAAAATTTAGTCTTTAAATTGTTTTACGGCCTAAAAGCAGGCCATAAAATTTAGCTTTAGGCTTTCTAGCAGCCAAAGCAAAAATGGAAACAAGCATCATCAATAAGATTCACATTGTCTTTAAGATGAAAATAAAGCAGCTGCTTAGGAGAAGCATGGATTTCCTTGGTACCAACACAAGAGATTTCTCCTAAGGGTCTTTATAACAAACACAACTACTATGTAATTCAGAGTCCTCAACATAATAAATAAGGGCTATTCTTGTGGCCAAAACTCAGCACCCAGAGCAGTATGTGGCGCCGAGCAGACACTGATATTTACTGACTGAGTGACTGTGCACATAATGGGAAAGCGCCATTCAGTCAGCAGTCACATAAGGAGCCAAAACATGGGTCCAGGAATTTGGCTCTCTGGTCATCTGGCTTGATCCAAGCATAACACTTACACAAACATCTAAAGTAAGGGACCATTAATCTCTCAAGCAATGAATTAATTTCTTCCAAAAGAAATAACAAAAACTGTCTTAACAATGATTTTGAAAATGTCCTTGGAGTAGACAGGAGGCAGTACTGAGTCATGGCTAAGAGCAAGCTTACACTATTTTGATCAAGAGGCCTACTTCTAGATAGAAGATTAAGACTGACAGGAACTTGGCCCTGCTTTGCCACTTAGCTGCTGAGAGGCAGAATAACATCTCTATTGCACACAACTAAAAGGACAGAGCAAGAAAAAAAAGCATGGAAAAGCCTGATGAGTGGGAAAATCAACATATCAGTGATAAACTGAACTCCCACAGAGTGAAAACTACCTGTAGGTAGAGGGTAATCTTAATGCATAAATGCTTGATAGAGGATCCACAGGGATAGGTGAATAATTTATTATTACTTTGCTTACAAAGTTTATTCACATACATACATTTGAGAGATGGCTTAGAAATTCCAGATACCAAGCTTTTATGACCAGGAACATATTTCTTTCCATCATCACTAAGTCTCTGAGCTTGTGGGGCCGGAAAAGAGGCATTTTACCTGCAGACTTACTTCATCATCCCAGGCTGTTAAATATGTTACAGCCAAGCAGGTCTTTCCTGGACTGGTTGTTTGAGATTACTTGGACATGTGATTTAATAGGTTACTCAAAAGAAGTTTTGAAAATTAAAAAAAAAAAAAAGTAAATCATACACATGACAGATTTGAGAGAAGTGAAAAGTGATGAGTATGAACTCCGCTTCCACTGTGCGTTAACTGAGCACCTCAGTGAAATAAACTCTGGTATCTGCTGACCTTGGCACTCACCTCTGGGGAGGTGGATAATGTCGTTTTCACTAGGTGTAGGCCACAGGGGGACCTCCATGTCAATCTCTCGATGATTTGTCTTCTCAATGGGTACATTGGTTGGTTCTGGGACATACATTTCTAAAAAGAAGGGAACATGTTTTTTATAAGAGATGATGGGGGGAGCATCTTATTGACTTCTGTTTCCTCAACCCAGGTGCATTCGGTTCAATACAACACAATACAACCTGTCCTGGGACACAAAAGATCCAGTTTCTGCACTGACATCATTAATGCCTGAGAGTCACTACCTTTGCAGGGGTGGGAAACATGTCTTACAGCCATTTAAAAGGGGGAGAAGTTTACTCCTCCACCAAACTCAAAAGCTCTGCTTTTTCATAACTAATGCTGCTGACTACAGATTTGTGCAAGCTGATGGGCACTGGCCGAAATCAAAGGATTTCTTTTACTTTCCATCAGCTAAATTATACTTTAATAACTGTTGCTCTTCAATCCATGAGTGCTGAATCATTTATATGAAATATGTCACAGGAAGTGAAAAAGTTAAGCACCTTCATTCTGTATTCATTTCCCCTTCACTCTGTCTCCCTCAAAAGGAATGGACATCAGCAGGCCTCATGAGGTGCTACCTGAGTTAAGTCTTACATGTCTGCTCTGTTCCCCCTGGGACCATGCAGTCTGGAAACTGAACTTGAGTAAATATGTTTATATTATCTAACTCAATCATACAGAAACTTTGATCAACAAGATACTAAAACATGAAACAAAACTGAGAAGAATGACACATCTGTTAACCCCAAATATCAGGAATATATTCCTAACTTCATCTGGCTAACAATAATTAGCCAACTTTTTAAAGAAATAATTCTTAAGAACCTCTTTTTCTAACATATGACAATAGGAATCTGCATCTAGCACATTTCTTGGCCAAGTCCTGCCATATTACTAACTGATTTTTATAATAAGGTCACCCAACATCGGCAGTACTAAATACTAGTAAACAGCCTCGTGCTATGCTCTGCTTAGTTGCTCAGTCTTGTGTCCGACTTTCTGGGACCCCATGGACTGTAGCCCGCCAGGCTCCTCTGTCCATGGAATTCTCCAGGCAAGAATACTGGAGTGGGTTGCCATGCTCTCCTGAGGGGATCTTCCCAACCCAGGGATTGAACCCAAGTCTCTGGCATTGCAGGCGGATTCTTTACCATCTGAGCCACCAGGGAAGCCCAATAAACAGCCTAATTAGACCAAAATAAAATACATGAAATATGTCTGTATAAGTTAGAATATTCCTCTCTGCTCAGAGTGATTGATGGCTATCCCAAAGTTACCAGTCTTTCAAGAAGTGGACCTTAAAAAAGACAGATTTGAGAGAAGTGAAAAGTGATAAGAGTGTAAACTCAGCTTCCACTGTGCATTAACTGCCCAAGGTTATGCATCCAGGAACGGCAGAGCCAGGCTTCAAATGCAGTCCTCTGAATCCAAAGCCCAGGTCTTCCTACTGTCCCCAGGAATAAAGTCATTTTGGCTTTAGCTTTCTTAGTTAAATTTCAAGACCTCTCCCAGTAGCTCAGTGATAAAGAATCTGCGGGCAATGCAGGAGCCACAGGAGCAATGGGTTTGGTCCCTGGGTTGGGAAGATCCCCTGGAGGGGGGCATGGCAACTCACTCCAGTGTTCTTGCCTAAAAAGTCCCTTGGACAGAGTAGGCTACAGTCTGTGGGGTCACAAAGTGTCAGACACGATTGAAGCAACTTAGCATGCATGTACTCAGACATGGCAAGAACTAGACACTCCTGAGTTTTGAAAGATTCAACAACTCTCTGAAATAAAAAAGAGAGTTTACTGAAAACATTTTCATTTACAGAAGCACAGGCTTGAGTATCAACTAGTGATTCCAAACTTTTCTATCATATCTGAGTCACCCGAGGCCCTTGTAAACCTGCTCACAGATCCTGATTTGGTGGGTCTGGGCTAGGTGGTTCTAGGCTGTGTGTGGGGATGGTGTTTAGCTTGCCCACTGAGACATCTTGATATGCAGTATGAATTTCCTGGAGGAATCTGGGAAGAAAACCCCTTGACATTTACATGACATCTTTGGGTGCTATGGTGTCTTGAGCCCCTGCCCTCCCTGGTCCAGCACACAGCCTCGAGCTGCCTTATCAGCCCAGGGGCTGACCTGCCATTGCCCTGCAGCTGCTCCAGGAGAAAAGGCTAACATGAGACCCAGGCGGGAAACCTGCGAATGTCAGCAGCTACGTAGCAAAGACTTCTACGGAGTCCCCCAGGGCTGGGGTCAGCTCAGGGTCTTCCTGGGATAGCAGCAGAGAGAAGCAACTTTGAAATTCCTGTGCCTCATTCCTGCCTGGAGGTAGATTCCAGTGAAACCTTCCACACCACACAGGCTCGACAGTGTGCGTTCTCTTCCCACAGGTGCTTAGAAAGGCTCTACCTGGCGACGGCTGGGGAAGTTGGAAGGATCTGCCCAGGATGGAGGAGGACTGTCTTACTCAGTGGTTACTTAATCACCATCGTTCAACCAACATTTCATCAATACTTCCTACGTGGCAGGGAGCGGGCTAAGTCTGGGGCACACAGTTGTGATCAAGACCAGTTCTGCCCTTATGGGCCTCCCGTGGTGAGTTCCATCTCCCCATTGGGCAGCTCACAGCCTGTCCTCTGGATCAATCTGCTCTGCTAAACTCAGTCCAGCTCTGATTAAAGTTCACCCATACCACCTCCTTTATCACCAAATATTCAAAGCCCAGTTCAGAGCTCTTGGGTCTAAGAGGAGAGGGTCATTTCCCTTTAATGTGAACTTAAGAGGGAAGCTACCTCTGAGCATTTTTGCCAAAAAGGATAAATCTTTCAAAAAAAAATGCTTGGAGAAACAAAAAGAAGTGTGGGTGCTGCTGTGTTTCCACGCCGAGAGTGAGGCCTGCCATGGCCAGAAACTGCAACAACCCCAACTCTCAAACAGAACCCTTCTGACATTTACTGCGAGAGCCCTTTATAAAGCTGCTGGCCTTGTCGATGACACAGGAGTGACACACGACGTCACCTGGCCCGGAGGCACAGATCACGGGCACTCGGTCAGTTAATTACAACTGGGGTCCAGTCTGATCTGAACTACAGAGGAACCGAAGACAACTTAGTGGCGACATATTTTAAATTCAGATGCACCGACCTGGCCCATTGTAAGACTGACCTTCCTTAAAATGTCTGTTTCTGGAATATGGGGCAGGGTGCTTGGGACTTGCAAGGTGAGGACACCATTTTTGGGGGGATGGAACTCCAGGTCAACCTAGGTCCAGGACTCCCAGGTCTTCTGCTAACGAGCTGCATGGCTTTGGATCATTCACGTAACTTTTCTGACTTTCAGTTTTCTATAAAATCGGACAAGTATTGACCAGCAAACCAGTTCACAAGTCTTTTATTCATATCCAGAGGGGACAAAAGGAAGACATGCTTGGTAAGGGCAGGGCTATTCAGAATGTCAGCGGATGTGTGCAGGGGGCAAAGCCAAGTAGCCTGAACCATCCGGGGGAGAAGCAGCCACCTGAAACTTCACAGAGACACCACGAGAAAATGGGACAGGAGCCCAGGCTTCCTGGCAGGCCACACTTAGTCAAATGTGAAGTGGCAGAGCTCAACTGACTACAGAATGTGTGGAGATAAAATGGAAAAATGATTCATCGATAATACATCAGAAGCAGAAAGGGGAGTTAACAGAAATTAAGTTCCAATCCAACGATGCATGCTGACAGAGAAGTCACTGGAGAAATCTCTAGTTGCGAACAGATGCCAGTGAAACCTGTATTCCCTCTTCTATCACACTCGCAGTTGAGGAGAGTGGATCCACCTCTTCCTGCCAGCATCACCTGAACTCGGGTCCCGTCATCACACACCTTGGACGTCTATAAGGCAGGTCACAGCTGTCCTGGCCCCGGGTCTCTCCCGGCTTCAGCCCCTCCTGCAGACCCCGTGAGCCTCCCCAGAGCACCTCCATGGTCTTGTCTCATCTGTTTAAAAAGGAGCCTCCCGAGAAGGATAAAGGACAAAATCCACCTCTCTGTTTGAACATTAAAGCCCTAAACATCTTGACCAAAGCTGTCTTCTCTGTCCTTCCCTCCTGTTACTGGAACTCCCTATTCCAGGGGCATCTGACCTCCGTCTCAGGGTCTCTGGTCAGATGACTCTTTCACTCCAATGAAGAGAACCCACCTGTCCTTCAAGGCCCAGCTCAGTCCTTCTTCGAGTGAAAGCCACCCAGACAGACCCCTCTACTCCACAGGAAAACCCTGTCTGTGAATTGGGCACGTGGTCTGTAGCTGAGATGTGTCACGGTTGTCTCCAATTCACCACCCGCCCCTTCTTTCTGAAACCACCTAAGCAGACTCTGCTGCCACCACTGTAAGGAAATGGCTCGTCAAAATGACTTGGATGCCACCAGATGCATGACGGTCAGTCCCTGCTTCCCACCTGATGCCACCCACCAGCACTTCTCCCACCCTTGCTCCAGGCGGCTCCCAGGTCACAGCTCTTGCTGTCTTCCCCTGTGGCAGGGGCTCCTTTGCTGTTTTCTATCCCTGACCTGCCCAGATCCCAAAAGTGGAGGGTTCTTGGGCTCAGTTCCAGACTCCCTTTTCTTCTCTATCTCCACTCACTTCTTGGGTGACCTCGTCCAGTCTCAAGGCTTAAAAACCACCCATCTATGACAATGTTCAAGTTTACAGAAACATTTCCTATCTCTCTCCTGAGCTCTAGATGCTCACTGTCTATTCACTGCCTCCACTCAGATGTCCAATGGAGATTTCCAACTAAAAAAATGCCCCAATAAAATTGATTTTACACCAGAGTTGCAACTCCATGTTTTAGTCAAAAACATTATAGTTGTTAATGGAGCCTCTCGTCTTCTCCCACTCCTCACATCGTGTTCAAATCCGATCGAATCTACCCTTTTACTAGAATCAGAACCTGGCCACTTCTCCCACCTCACATTCACTGCCCTGGTCTCAGCTTCCACTTCTGCAAGTAACATTCCATCGTTGCTCTACTCAAAGCCCTCCAGAGTTTCCATCTTATCTCAACAGAATTCTAAAATCGCTCATGAGATCTCGTATTCTGGTGCATGGCTACTTCTCTGCTTCCTTCTGGTTACCCTCCCTGCTCAAGGAGTCCCATCCACGCAGCCTCCCTGTTTCTCTCCGAGCATCCACGGCATATTCCCACCCACCGGGCTCTCGTCCTGCTTATATGCACAGGTTCTCCCCTAATCCATGATTCCTGCCGTTCTTCTGGGTCCCTTATAAATGTCATCCAATCTGTGAGGTGTTCCTGGATCATCAAAACATCCTGTCCCCTCTGCTGTCCAGCCCCTTCCTCTCCCACCCTGGACTGGCTATGTGTCTCTCTGTGGCCCGATCCTCATCTTGTGTTCTGTTTACTTGTTTGCTGCCTGTGTCTCCCTAAGAAAACCTCAGTTCTGTGTGGATGGGCAGTTGCTGGATTCACTGTCTTCCCCAGGCCTCAAGCAGTGCTTACTTGAGTACGCATGAAATGAATCTTGGTTGAATAAATAAGATCAAGTTTTACTATTTAGATCATTAAAAGCATATTACTAGGAAAACTGGTATGAAACTTGGGAAACAGGTGAAACATATTAGATAAAGCAACTTGGATGGGAAATACATGTTTCTCCTCATACTTCTCATGCTGAACACTTACAGATTCTGTTTCTCCAATGTGCGCACCTACTGATACACGGAAGCGGCGTTCTGACTCTTGGTCTCCATCTTAAACAAGGCCAAGCAGACCAAACCATGAAAAGCAACCAAGGGAGGGATCTGAAAAGGGCTCAGTCTCCTGACCCTTTTACAGTATCCCCTTCTTTTTAGGGGATAAATGGACATTTTTAGAATTGTCTTGCTTATACGGCACCTAAACAAAAGGCAAACCTGTGCTGTGCTCAATGAAACCCTTGAGATTTAACTGATTGTCCCATTTTACAAGTGCATGGTGTGATGCCCTTCTCAGCTGCTGTGACCTCCAGCCCACTGTGCTGCATGGAGCCAGAGTCTCTAATGCAGCGCTAAAGGAAACACAGAAGCGGGGTGAAGATGCAGGGGCTCTCGCCTCGCTAAGGACTCCCTGGGTTCCTAGAGTGAGCCCTCTCTTCGGTCTGTGTGGTCTGGACTGCCTGCGAGGTCTGCGTATCCAGGGCTTTTGATCTGGAACACTGCCCAGAGGCTGTCTTGACAAGGGCTCAGGCCCCGCGTTGCTGGGATGAGGGGCAGAAAACAAAGGCGCTGTTTTGGCAGGAGACACGGACAGGGAATCCAGAAGGCCTGGGGGAGGATCTGGGCAGCTGAGGGGGGGCTTAGGTTTACTGGGAGGTGGATTACTGGGCTGATGTGAACGGTGGGATGTGGAAATAGACGCAGACAAGTGGTCTATCTGCAACAGCCAGCTGGCGGTGTGCTCTGAGGCTCCTGTCCTCGGTGGGAAGAGAGGGGAAGTTCAGGGAGGACAGCCTGGGACAGCCAGACTGACGCACTAAGAGGCTGGGCCAGGATCGTGTTCTTTAAAGGCAGTCTTCCATCCATGTTGGTTTTGGTAGACAGTCACCTTAGAAGAGCTGCCAAGTGTATCCCCCACTGTGTCTGATCATGGACCTTTGTCACTAGGCTCAGCCACCACTGCCCGCAAACTGTGCTGCTCGGATATGGCAGATGTCATTAATACCCATAGGGTATACCCATCAGGCCCGCCACTGACAGAGAACGCCAATCAGAAGGACCAGAGCAATTTCGGCCTGGAATCAAAATCAGGTGCTCACCTGGAGGTCACAGTCTCTCAAGCTACCCTCCATGTCTGTCTCTGGGCCAAAGGAACTAGTTCCATAGGGTGGGGTCCAGGAGGCTCTGAGTCTGCTCTAGTTTGCTCTTAAAGTCAACATCACAGGATGAAAAGTGGCAGGGTGGCAGCTTAAGATACCTGGGCACATGGGGCAGCAGCTGCCTTCCACGTTGATGGGCTCGACGCAGGGCAGCGGCGGGCAGCTGACGGTGGAACAGAGGGTCTGGCCCTGCAGGCAGTAGCAGTGTGTGCAGCTGTCGATGTCCCAGCGCTCCTCGTCAGCGTAGGCCTTCCCGCTGAAGTGGCACACCACCTTCTTTGGGATTGTGTCCTCTAGGGAAAAAGAGGACAAACGGTGGAGTCACTCCATGTGACAAGCACAATTTTTCAACATAGCTGAGACGTAAACGGGGATAGCACTGCGCAATCATGGCATGCTCTGGGACGCCCAGCATTGGGTGAAAGTTCCGCTTCGCCAGTCCTCTGGCTCAGCAGACTCATCGGAACACTCATCTTGTGGCCTGAACCTGCTCAAGGGCCATCAAGGCTGACACAGGGTGGCAATTATAGCAACCAGCCAGGAAGCGTACTCGCTGGCCAAGAGTCACTGGACGGTCATCGCAAAATATATAAACTCAATCATTGTATGGCTATTGAACACGCCACGTGAAAAAACTAAAACACAAATAGGTAGGGAGACGTGTTCAGAAGTTTTGTTCCATGTGTAAAGAGATTAAAAAGTCCAGCTGAGTATCCTTATAGAAACAACTCCCATCTCTAGTTACTCTCTGTAACGAGACAATGCAGGGTAGGGGGCAGGAGTGGCGATGGCCTCTCCCAGGGAGCCAGCAGGTTTCCTGTGCTCCTCCACAGGGAACTTGGACTGAGATGACCATTTCCTTCATTTTATAGGAATGCTGAATGCATTTCCCTCTCATCAACCAGGACACACCTACTTCAAAAACAACCTTATTTCAATCTATTATTTCCAGCAAAGTATGGTTTGTGAAAACAATACATTTTTTATGAGTCCGTTTTTGTATATAAGAATTTACACAAAATTGGCTCAGTTGTGTCCAACTGTTTGCGACGCCTCTGTTCATGGGGACTCTCCAGGCAAGAACACTGGAGCGGGTTGCCATTCCCTTCTCCAGAGCATCTTCCCAACCCAACTGTTTGCGACGCCTCTGTTTATGGGAACTCTCCAGGCAAGAACACTGGAGCGGGTTGCCATTCCCTTCTCCAGAGCATCTTCCCAACCCAACTGTTTGCGACGCCTCTGTTTATGGGAACTCTCCAGGCAAGAACACTGGAGTGGGTTGCCATTCCCTTCTCCAGAGCATCTTCCCGACCCAGGGACTGAACCCAGGTCTCCTGCACTACAGGCAGGTTCTTTACCATCTGAGCCACCAGGTTGATGCAAGAATTTACAGTGTAACACATTCTGCTCTTTTTCCTCTGTCCTTCCAGGCTGTCATTATACCCTCCCTCCCCCAACCTTTTCCTGGAAAGTTCCTTTCTCTTTGATTCATCACCTTCTCCTGGTTTATCTGAACTTATTACTAGTGGTCACATTCCCTCCAGAACTCAGAGTGAGGCCCAATGACCGGCAAAGCAGAAGTGGGGTCAATCAATGGAGAGACACAGGGTGGGGGTGGGGCAGCCCCTCCTTGTCACTGGCCAGGCTGAAAATGGGACGACTTATACTAACCTGGGGAAATCCTAGGCTCAGCTTCTACCAGCACCTCCACTTGCCACTGCATGCATGCTAAGTGCTTCAGTCCTGTCCGACTCTTTGTGACCCTCTGGACTGTAGCCCTCCAGGCTCCTCACTCCATGGGATTTTCCAGGCAAGAATATTGGAGTGGGTTGCCATATCCTCCTCCAAGGGATCCTCCTGACCCAGGGATCAAACCTGCCTCTCTTATATCTCCTGCATTGGCAGGCAGGTTCTTTACCACTAGCGCCACCTGGGAAGCCCACTTACCACTGGTCACTAGTTAATGAAAAACTATAAAGGCATCTGGAAGGAAAGTTCCTCAGGGAAGAAGTGGGGTGGGGAGCTCAGTTTCTCCCCGGAAGGCACGAAGGAAGGTCTGGTCAGAGCGGTGTTCGCTGCCCAGGCACAAAGGACAGACCTCACAAGGCCTGAGGAGCAAGGAGGGACATTTCTGTGCAGGGTACCAGGCCCATACCCTCTGCAGTCAAGTGTTCCCGGGCGGCTGGAACCACTCTGTGAAGAGCCAGCATGAGGCTTCCCATGGAGCTTTTGCAGAGAAGGATCAGAGGCAGAAATATGTCTTTGGAATCCATACTCTCTTCTTTCCAATCATATGGGCATATGCCCCTGACGGAGGGCACCAGTAATGTCTCATGACTCTAATATTTTGTGTTGCCAAAGACAGAAGTCTCGGTCCAGAATAGAGTGTGATAAGTAATCATGGAAATGAGTCTGTCAAGTATTTAAATGCATAATCTCTCTGCTTCCCAATGCTTTTTCACTGTTTCTGTCATTACTATTGCCTGAGGTTCAGTAAGGGAGACAGTTAAGTTCTATCTGTAAAAATTCCACAGCAATAAGAGAAGAGAGACTGTATGATTTCAATACCTTTAGACCATGAAATTTTTGCACCTTTGTTTTAATCCCTGAATATGTTCCAGTATCTCTTAGTTTACAGTCTGTGGGAACTTGAATAGAATTTGTATCCTGCTGTTGTGTGAAAAAAAAAAAGTTCTAGTTGTAAGCAGAAATTCCTTTTCAATATCTCTTTAAAAATGTATTTCACTGTATCTGGGAATACTCTATAGAATGGGCTCTGGTGCATGGACCAGTAAGCTTAAAAAATTCATTTGGAGGCTTTCATATCAAACTTATCTCAGAAATTTTTGCTAATCTGAAATCCTTAGAGGAGGTGATTTTATTAAGATACCCAAAATCTACACAGCGAATGGCTGAGCAGAATCACTTAATGAACTTAATTCAAGTAATCCACTGACCTCGAGCCAACACTTCATTGAGGACATTAAATCTGCCATCAAATCTAGAGTCTATTATGCAGAGGATTCTTTATGAAAGGAAGCATTTCTTCATAAAGCAATATTACTGATTACATTTTCCATACACCTTTCAACAGCGCACATGACGGACTAATATCACTGCATAAAATTTGAGTAATGCATTACAGTGCAAGGGCCTTGGAGGAGAAGGTTATAAATGCTCACCTCATCTCATCTATCACTTTATCTACTTTGTGTTTTTCCTCCTAGAGTTATTTTGCCAGTTCTCTTCTTAGAGAAGAGGTAGAAGACAATGAGAAAGAGCCACGGAAAGGATGAGGAGTCATTTTAATAAAAGAAGTTCATCTCAAGGCCAAGCACTGGTCTGTATTTTAAGATCGAGGCATCGCATCTTAAGACATTTAACTAATCAATGCTAATACAAGTCAGGTTAAAATTATCTATAATAGTAAGATATTAAAATAGTAATTGTGTTGTAAACATAAAGACATTCATTCGTTTATTCTATAAACATTTATCATCAATGGGAAGAAAGGCAGGACCTGGAGGACCTGACCCAGAGGACTGAGCAAAAGTGGGGGAGAAAGGCTGTGTTGACTGGGACTCTTCACCAGGTGCCACACAGCAGCCACTGTTTCGTGAATTCAGCGCGGAGCTGGACAACACAACTCGGAGGGTGGAGCAACTAACTCTGCTGGGGGAACTGGAAGAGGCTTTGCCCAGGATTTGATGTTCTAGTTTTATTTTGAGAGATGAGTAGGAGAAGATGAAGAAGCTGGAAAGGAAGGCTACCGAAAGCAGACAGTGGTGTGTCCAACAGCCTGCCCCACTAGAAGGGCAGTGGGAGGTGTCAGGGCTGCAGGCAGGATGGCTGGAGATGAAGCTGGGGTCAGATCGTAAAGGGCCATGAAGAACAATGACAGATTTAGAGCCTTCCTGTAGTGCTGGGAATGGGCCTTAATCAGTTTTTGTCTTCAAGAAGAGAACTCTGGAATATGATAGTTGCTGCTGCTGCTGCTAAGTCGCTTCAGTCATGTCTGACTCTGTGCGACCCCATAGATGGAAGCCCACCAGGCTCCCCCATCCCTGGGATTCTCCAGGCAAGAACACTGGAGTGGGTTGCCATTTCCTTCTCCAATGCATGAAAGCGAAAAGTGAAAGGGAAGTCGCTCAGTCGTGTCCGACTCTTTGAAACCCCATGGACTGCAGCCTGCCAGGCTCCTCCATCCATGGGATTTTCCAGGCAAGAGTACTGGAGTGGGTTGCCATTTCCTTCTCCAGGAATATGACAGTATGGAAGCCTAAATGGGATTAGGAAGATGGGAATGCTGTTGACAGGGATGTGCTATAGGCCTGGAGTAATGTGGTGATGGAGATGGTGATGTGGTGATGGAGATGGAGAGGCAAGGTGAGGTTTAGAGTGATTTCTGAGAAACAGCAGTCAGGATATGGATGGTGGGGGGACAGAGGCATGAAGGACGACTCTGTTTCCTGAATGGGAGGTGATACAGAAGTAATTCCAATATATGAGTCACTTTCCTGCTTTAAGAAATAAATAGCTGGTGAGCCTGTCAAGGACCTGGTCAAGCCTTGTCAAACCAGACATTCCAGTGGGTCAATCAGTGGTGCAGTGGTTGACCTTCAAACTCTTTGCTTTCCTGTATGAATGCAACCATGAAGCTGCCTCGAGGGCAGAACTGATTTGGGGCTCAACAAGTAAAAGGAGTGCCGACAAAGGTCCGTCTAGTCAAAGCTCTGGTTTTTCCAGTGGTCATGTATGGATGTGAGAGTTGGACCGTGAAGAAAGCTGAGCACCAAAGAATTGATGCTTTGGAACTGTGGTGTTGGAGAAGACTCTTGAGAGTCCTTTGGACTGCAAGGAGATGAAATCAGTCAATCCTAAAGGAAATCAGTCCTGAATTGGAAGGACTAATGTTGAAGCTGAAGCTCCAATATTTTGGCTACCTGATGCAAAGGGCTGACTCATTGGAAAAGACCCTGATGCTGGGAAAGACTGAAGGTAGGAGGAGAAGGTGACAACAGAGAATGAGATGGTTGGATGGCATCACCGACTCAATGAACAAGAGTTTGAACAAGTTCCTGGAGCTGGTGACGGACAGGGAAGCCTGGCGTGCTGCAGTCCATGGGGTGGCAAAGAGTTGGATATGACTAAGTGACTGAACTGACCTGAAGTAAAAGGAGACCCGTTTTAGTCCCCAGTGGTGAAGATGTGGGGTAACAGGCAAAGCTGGCAGTATCCCTCATGTATCCTTGCAAACCTTAAACTTCCTTGACCAAATAATTCTATTTTCAGT